TTTAGTAGGACATAAAGTTCAGCCGCCTTTATCTCTTGAGTAGTTAGACAGTGTGTCTGTGAATGTGAACCCATTGGATGACCAGGGCACACAAATATCGAGAATTCTATGTTCCTATAAAGTGGAACTGTTGCAAAGTTCCTTAGGGTCTTACTCTAACTTGTTTCAACATCCGCACCAAAATATCGTGAGCAAAATCTTGTTATTTCATTGAGAATGTATGCTTCGACAATAGATGCCTCTACATGATTCTTGTTCCCTATTGTTTGTGTCACGCCCCAGAACCCAAATCCGAGGCGCGACAGACGCCGTGCACTCGTGAGAGGGTCCCACGAATGCACAAGGCTCAGAACTTATTCAAATCACATCTAACCATCCAATAACTCAAATCAATTATCTCAAATCTATATCAATTACAAGTGGCTAGCTTTCTAACTCGTCACTCCCCTTGGTTTCCCCGTCCTTGGTTTCCCCGTCCTCGGTTTCGCATCCTGAAATGGTGGACAAGGAAAACTATGAGATAAACTCAGTAAGTAAATATGGATAGCCCTTGGGTAAAACTTTTAACATGCCAGATAAACCATGTAAACATAGCAAAACTTTCACTGATAATCCGTTAATGCGGAAATCAAGTTCAGTTCAATAGCAAAACGTTCAATGACAAAACCGTTACTGCATAATCAGATTCAGTTCAATAACAAAACATCTCATAACAAACCGTTAATGCTGAAGAAAACTCAGTTCAATAGTCTCATCTATAAGTCATGGCCAGTGTTATAACAACCCACTGGCAGGCGACAGAAATTTGCCAATGTATTCGCCCAGTGGCAGGCGTCAGAATAAACCGGTCATCAGTAAACATGTCAACATGTGCTAGCGTTACACCCACTAGCAGGGATCAGGAGTGCCAGCGTTACACCCACTAGCGGGGATCGGAAGTGTTACACACCCACTAGCGGGGATCGGAAATCATGACCATATTAGAGACAAAACCATGCAGGATTCACAATCAAAATCCCAAATTTCAGAAATAACCAGAAAATTCCATGTGAACATGGATTTAGCAGAAACCTCAGAATTTGCAAACTCTCAGTCCATCAAAACAATTCAATCAATTCCAAATAGGCATGCTAAACTCTAGAAAAACAATGAAATTCTCATTTTCATTTCAGTCATGCTCAATTTCTAGAAAAACAAGGAAATTCTCATGAAAACCATCACAATTTCCATTTCAATTAATCACACTCAAGTGCTGGTAAAATCAATTTAAAATCAATTAAAACCTTGCCACCATCTCAAAAACAATTTAAAACATGCTTTAAAATCAAAGGGCTTTACCATAATTTACTTACCTCACTCGCACAGAACCGAAGGCTAACCCAAGCGCTACGGTGACAGAACGATCAAAACCTAATCACAATATTCCACAATTAATACCGCGCTACCACAAATTCAAAGTAAAATCATCATCGGGACTACCCCTAATCACGGTGCTATTTCTATCAACCTTCACATAACCGGACATCTCCACATTCATTCTTATATCACAAACTAATCATTTAAATCCCCGTTAATTATTGACCCTCGATTTGTGAACAGTGCCTATGAACAGTACCACAACGTGAACAGTAACTGCAATCCTCCAAAATAATCTCACGGGTTTTCTCCAAAAATCACTACAGGCCAACTCAAGCTAATTTTCTACTTAAACCACACTTAAAAACATAGCTTAAAGCTACCAAAATTCATTCCCAATTTCAACAGAAATTCCCGAACAGTACAAGGGCAAATCAAAGGCAGAAAATTCAAGATTCAAGGCAGCAAATCAACGGACAAATTCGGGGTTGGAGGGCTGTCACATACCAGAATTTAACAAGCAAAACCGAGCCTAGCAGGGGGGAGAAGCCGGCGGCAGAGAAGAAGAAATTCTGCAGGGGAACTCGCGGCTACCCAATCCAAAAACCAAAACACAATTCAAGGTAAACCCAAGCCTAAATCAAGAGAGAAAAGGGAGATTCAGGGCTGTTCTTACCGAAAAATGCCCACAAATTTCAAACCCACAAGTTGAAGCCGACGGACAGCAGAGGGAGGAAGACGCAGATCTGGGATTTTCTGGGTTCAACAAGTGTTCTAAGACAAGAAAATAGGGAGAAATCCCCAAGCTTTGCCGGATTTCCGGCCAAAAATGGGTGGCGGTGGCTGGGGGGTTCGTCGGCTGCAGAGGGTCGGGGGAGAGGAAGAGCAGGGCACGCGGGTCTGATGAGGAAGGAAAGAAAGAAGAAAAAAGAAAGAAAAAAAGAAAAGAAAAAGCAATTCATCCTTATCCTAATTTTCTTTCTTTTTAGTCCCTCGACTTTTAAAAATTTTACGATTAACCCCCAAAACAATATTTTCCCTCAAATAAGTCCCTTATTTAATGCCAAAATACCCCAAAATTTTGGGATATTACAGTTTGTTTAAGTTTGTGCATTTGTTTGTAAAATTTGAAATTAGATATGAGCATAACAAATTGTTATAGATTTTGTTATACATGAAACTAGTGCAAACTTGTTTCCATTACCGTTCAAATGGATACATCCATTGAAATTGTATAGGCCCGCCAATTCACGCCTCGAAAGGAAGATGGATTGTTAGGTGCTCCATACAATCAAAAAAAGATGGTGGGAAGATTCTTTCCAACTTACATATTATTTCAACTATTTTTGTTTCCAAAACTGCCATGCCTTTTATGTTGACATTTGAGGAGCATAGTGCACGAAAGAAATTACTTACTTCTGTTAATGGACCCTATATAGAATCCGGTAACAAGCCATGGAAAGCAATTGGACTGAGGCGCTGCATGAATATGTGGCAATCGTGACTCTTCAATCCAACTAAGCATAGCTCAGCTAAGTTCACACAACGTGTGATGTTAGATGCAAACCCATTTGGAAATCGCACATTTTTGAGCCATGTACATAGACATCTTTTCTTATCCATGTCAAGTGCATAACTTGCATTTAGCTTGCAAAGCAACCCAGAACTGTCATAGTACAAGTGTAGTTCTTCTCTATCACAGTACAATGGTAAATCCATTCTTAACTTAACATTGTCTTTTGAAGACAAGTCATTCATGACTATGTGTATGATGTTGTCAAAGAAATTCTTCTCACAGTGCATGACATTAAGATTTTGTCTGATCAGGTTATCCCCCCAATATGGGAGTTCCCAGAAGATACTCCGTTTGACCTAATTATGTGTTTCACCGAACCCGGGAATAGTTTGGTTTACTGATAGATTTCCAAATAAAACATTAGGTGGTGCGGCAACTCGAAGTTGAACGGAATGACCATCTAATCGTGGAGGAGGGGGGCCAAATTCTAGGTGGCCCTTAAGGAATTGAGTTGCATCCATTCTGTACGAGTGTGATGTAGGAAGAAACTGCCGATAATAGTCAAAGAAGTAGATCTTGCGATCATATTGCAAGTAAAAAGCATGAGTCATTTCCATGCAATATGGACAAGATAGACGACCATGCGTGCTCCATCTAGAAACCATACCATAGCTGGGGAAATCCGTTATGGTCCACATAGGCATGGCTCACATTATGAAGTTCGGTTTACGGAAGCTGTCAAATGTTTCTACCTCCAACGATCATAACCTTTTTAGGTCATCAATAAGTGGACGGAGGAAAACATCAATGTTTTTTCCTTGACTTTTTGGTCCAGAAATAACAAATGTAAGGAATGTAAAGTCAGGTCGCATGCACATCTCAAGAGGAGGATTGTAAACAACAATGAAAATAGACCAACAGGAATATGATCTCGAAGAATGACCCCACGGGTTAAACCCATCTATTGCAAGACCAAGATGGACATTTCACGGATCGGATGCAAATGAAGGATGAACGGCATCAAAGTGCTTCCAAGCAGTAGACTGAGCAGGATGAATGAGGATCTCCGAGTCAACACGACATTTAAGGTGGCATGTCATATGCTCAGTGGTTTTATGAGACATGTACAGCCTCTATAGGTGTGAAATAATGGGTAGATACCACAAAGAATTCCTGGGCCTACCCTTTTTTCGAGTTTGAGCCGAGTTGCATTGTTTATACGTAGGTTCACCACAAACTGGACAAGCAGTAAGTGACTTAGCCTCATCACCATAATACAAAAAGCAGTTGTTGACACATGCATCAATTTTGACATAACTTAAACCGAAGTATTCATAAATTTTTTTGCTTCATAAAAATTTGACGGTACTTTTTGTTGATCTTCTAGACTTAACAATTACCTACAACCCTGAATGATGTCATTGTAACCAACACCAATTATGTTGTTTTTGGCTTTGTTGTGCAGCATATATGATAACCATCCAAGCAATGTTTGATTATTAGATGATGGTCTAAGTGCATGGTTGAAGCATGCAACAAGGCATAAAAAGATTGTGCATGTCTATTTGGCGCATCCCCAACATTTTCAGATGCGAACTCTATTTCATTTCTATGGCGATCGTTCTCAGATGGACAGAATGCATCATAAACCATGTGATGGATATCATCCTCAGCATTAACATGTTCCTCAATATTAACATGTTCTTCAATATTACTTGAGGATGCCACAACACTTGCGGCTAACCATGGATCAACATTGTTACTTAAAGTTTCACCATGTGCCTACCACACAGAATATGCATCCATGAAACCATATCTCAACAGATGGTCTGTTATAGTTGCCTTGTTGTGGTGAGGTAAATTTCCACATTTACTGCAGAGGCAGTGAATTTCGGCATTCGAGTGAACACCAAGACGACTATATATGAAATCAAAAAATTGTTGTAATCCATTAAAGAATTTAGCATCATAATCTTCACGAGGACCTCGTCGTCTATACATCCAACGATGATCATCTGTCATCTTTAATTGAATAATACAATTAAGATTTTAAGTAAATTAAATCATTATTAAGGTAATAATAGTAATTATATAAGTACATGTAATAGACAAAGAAATGGGAAAACCCAGCAACTAGTGCATAAAGGTTGCAAACACTATTTTCAAACCGGATCGGCTCGGTAGGTTCAATCAATTGAACCAAACTCGATTCTAAAAATGGGTCGGTTTATGATATTTATTTGTTGGAGGTCAAACCTGGTCAAAACCCGATCAAACCCACGCAAAGCCAACCAAACCAGTGAAACCCATTCAACTCGGTCAACTCAATCAACCGGATCAAAACATTTTTTTACATTTTCAATTTATTTTCTGTTTTTCTTTAATTTTTATTTTCTGTGTTGGTAATTAATAGATAATATGATAATTAAATTGTAAAATCTATTTAAAATCAAATCACAATTAAGGAATGAAATTTTTTAAAATTTATTTAAATGTAATTTAAAATTAAATTACTATTTCAAATTATAAAGTGATTGTAATTTAAAATAAATCAATTTGATTTTTAAAATAAAATAAATAACGACTTTATATAATGAAATTGATGAAATCAACTTAAAATTAAAAATAATCTAAAGTAATTTTACAAATAAAATAATTAATATTTTAGATAATCAAATGAATGAAATATTTTTAAAATTAAAATCAATCATGAGAAATTTTAGGAAAAAATCAATATAAGGAAAAAATAATTTTATAATTAATATGATATCAATATTTTTAGTTACTTATTAAAGGAAATATATATTATATATTTAAATAAATTTATTGAAGAAAATGAATTTTAAATTAAGAAATTTTAAAATAAAGTTCTAAAAATTAATAATTTGTTTGATCAATAAATTTAAAAATGATTTATATCAATTTTAAAAATTAAATCAGTTAATGTAAAAATAATTTATAATTGAGAAAATGAATTAAATACTATTTATTAGGTTGACTAGTTGACCCGATCAGTCAAACTGGTTGAACCAAACCCGGTGACCAAAAACGGGTCAATCACCTTCTTGTGGATTAAATCATTGGTTTCATAATATATATATGTATATCTATAGTAAATTAACTTTAAGTTCGGGAAGAAATTGTGTATATATTAAAAGTTGAGGGATAGAAATGTACTTATACTAAAATTTTAGGGATTTAAAGTTATGCAAATTCTAATAAAGTTAACGGGTAAGTAACAGAATGACTAATAATGTATACTTTTTCATAGTTTAGGGACTATAATTTAATAAACCAATTATGATATGAAGAGTGTACAGACCTTTCAAATTTATGAATTTTTAATTTTTGGAGTTTATGAAAAACTTACTGAAAATGCCATCTAAGGGAATCGAAAATTTCAAATTAATATTTAATTTTTTTTATAACAAATGTGTATTTACAATATAATAATATTTGTATTAACTACTAATTTTTTTCTGTAAGTTATGTATAATATAATAAACAATAATAAGTAAAAAATAACGTACTTTTCATTCGTCCGTGATAGAAACAAAAACTATAATATACAAGAAAACATTCAAATATAATGAAGATTAGGGTGAAAACTAATAAGAAATAAAACTTACTCTTGAAATAAAAATGAAGGGCAATTGCGAAATGGTACATGCAAATTGTAGAAGTTTATTTCATAGTATATAGATCATAATTTATCAAATACGGAACAGAAATGGGTTATGAATATAAGGGATAATGGATTTAAACTATAGGATTAAAGAGGGTAGAAAAAATATAAGGAAACAATAGGAAGATGGTAGACTTACCTTAATAAATGAAAATATGAAAGCTTGTACTGTAAATAATCATTAAAAATCTTAATTGCCTTCTTGGATTGTGGCAAATTCTGGTAGGAAGATGAAGTAGAGATGTGAGGAAATATGGCAGTAATGTTTTAGGGGGAAGAATGGTGCAGAAAGCAAAGAGTGCGTGGGAAAATGGGTTGGCCCTAAAAACTTACATCACCAACATGGAGTGTGATGCTAAAAGGATGAGCCTTTCAGCAACATGCACTATGTTGCTGAAAAGTTGTAGCACCAACATGAAGTGTGATGCTAAAAGGATGAGGCTTTTAGCAACAATCACTATGTTGCTGAAAGTTAATTATATTGAAGTCAAGAATCCAAGTAGCAAATGGATGGACATGACGGTGGAGTCATACACACTCCCCAAAATATAAGATTCGAATTTGGATTTTTGGGTGCAGTTGTCTTAAATCAATATTAATAGTTAAAAATATAATAGTTGAAGTAATATGTATATGAATATAAAATCAATAGTATAAATGATTTAATACATCAAATATAATGTAAATAAATCAAAATATTTTCGATAAAAAGTATAAGTTAAAAGGAATGTAAATTAATATTAGTACATACCATTAATATATAAGTTAAATATTAATGTTGGTTATCAACTCAATGAGTTTGCATAATTTTTTAAATTTTGTACAGGACATTTTATTTTAATATAATTGATGACATATAATAAAGGTAAGATTATTGTCACATTATAAATGGTTAATGTTAAAATTTTTTTTAATATAATTACTTATTATATCATCACATTACATGTTTAAATTATATAATTTTTTTGTTTTTTAATAAATTAAAAAATATAATAATTAATTAAAATAAAAAATATGATATTAATATTTAAGAACATGAAAAAGAAAATACTTATATAATTACAATTCATATCATAAAATAAAAAAAAAGTTATCAACTAAGAAATCTATTAACAAATTTAATTATAATGTTCACCTACTATAATTATATTTAATACCATTTAATTCATAAATTAAATTTGAAATAAAATCAATTATCTTGCAATTAATTTCAATTAAAGTTTAATTATTCATATTTACTTATTATATACATTTCATTATTAAAAATTACCTTGCAATTAAATAAATAAAAATTTCCTGAACAACGTTTCTCAATACCCAAACAAAAAAATTTTCTCATCATTCAAACACGAAATGAAACAAAATTTTCATAGTCCATTTCATATTTTACAAGAATTCAAGTAAAATTTACCCATAAAAAATATTGAAATGAAAATCCACAATTAATTCCTAAAATCTGGATTATTCACCTAAATCCTCACTTCCTGTTATGGTACCATATTTCCAACTGAATGTTCTTTTCCCTTTTTATTTCAAATTCTAAACAACCTGTAAGATGGAGGAAAGGGGCTAGTTTAAGGAAGAAGAGAAGGGAAGTTTCATGAACACAAACCTAGAAATGCATTAAGGTGAAGCAAGTTATTTGGGTTCATGAACACAAACCCAGATCTGGGTTTGTGTTCATGAACCCAAAGTTTGGTTCACTAAAACAAACCCAGATCTAGGTTCACAAACATGAACCCAAAGAAAAAGATGAGAGGAGAGGGTAGAAAGAATCTAAGCTAGGGAAGTAGACACAAAAAAAAAAATCAAAAAAATAAAAGGAAAAAGGGAGAAAACGGTTGGAGGAAAGGGAAATAATGGAGAACAGTTACTGTAATAATGGAGGAAGGAGAGATAATGGAGGAGAACTGTTGTTGGAATAATGGAGGAGAACTGTTGTTGGAATAATGGAGGAGATGGAGAAGTTAATTGCTATAGTACACTAGGTAAGAGGGGAATTTATGTGATAATAAGGTGTATTTATGTGATATTATAAAGGTAATAAATATAATTATAGGATTATATACGGAGTTATATATTCGACTGTTCAAATGAAAAATTTTAAATTATTATGAATTCCAATAAAAAGT